AGGATCAGTTCCTGGATCAGTTCCAGGATCAGTTCAGGGACTTGTTTTAGTTCTGTTTCCGTCAATGACTTTCTAATGGTTCTATTAAAAAACCGTACCAGAACTCTCTGAGCTGCGGCTCGGTGACTGCTCCGGTACCGACAGGTGTCCAGAACTGTTTCAAACAGTTCTGCTGGTCTCGGTTCGGAGTTTCGGTTTTAAAGACAAAAGACGAGAGTGGAACCTTTACCTGCTCAGATCTCTGGTTCTCCTCCCGGCGGCTCCATGTTCCCACCAGCACGGAGTGAAGAAGGAGGTGCGGCTGCTGGTGGAGGTGAGGAGGTGCGGCTGCTGGTCCTGGTCCTGGTCCTCGTCCTGGTCCTGGTCCTCGTCCTGGTCCTGGTCCTCGTCCTGGTCCTGGTCCTCGTCCTGGTCCTGGTCCTCGTCCTGGTCCTGGTCCTCGTCCTGGTCCTGGTCCTCGTCCTGGTCCTGGTCCTCGTCCTGGTCCTGGTCCTCGTCCTGGTCCTGGTCCTCGTCCTGGTCCTGGTCCTCGTCCTGGTCCTGGTCCTCGTCCTGGTCCTGGTCCTCGTCCTGGTCCTGGTCCTCGTCCTGGTCCTGGTCCTCGTCCTGGTCCTGGTCCTCGTCCTGGTCCTGGTCCTCGTCCTGGTCCTGGTCCTCGTCCTGGTCCTGGTCCTCGTCCTGGTCCTGGTCCTCGTCCTGGTCCTGGTCCTCGTCCTGGTCCTGGTCCTCGTCCTGGTCCTGGTCCTCGTCCTGGTCCTGGTCCTCGTCCTGGTCCTGGTCCTCGTCCTGGTCCTGGTCCTCGTCCTGGTCCTGGTCCTCGTCCTGGTCCTGGTCCTCGTCCTGGTCCTGGTCCTCGTCCTGGTCCTGGTCCTCGTCCTGGTCCTGGTCCTCGTCCTGGTCCTGGTCCTCGTCCTGGTCCTGGTCCTCGTCCTGGTCCTGGTCCTCGTCCTGGTCCTGGTCCTCGTCCTGGTCCTGGTCCTCGTCCTGGTCCTGGTCCTCGTCCTGGTCCTGGTCCTCGTCCTGGTCCTGGTCCTCGTCCTGGTCCTGGTCCTCGTCCTGGTCCTGGTCCTCGTCCTGGTCCTGGTCCTCGTCCTGGTCCTGGTCCTCGTCCTGGTCCTGGTCCTCGTCCTGGTCCTGGTCCTCGTCCTGGTCCTGGTCCTCGTCCTGGTCCTGGTCCTCGTCCTGGTCCTGGTCCTCGTCCTGGTCCTGGTCCTCGTCCTGGTCCTGGTCCTCGTCCTGGTCCTGGTCCTCGTCCTGGTCCTGGTCCTCGTCCTGGTCCTGGTCCTCGTCCTGGTCCTGGTCCTCGTCCTGGTCCTGGTCCTCGTCCTGGTCCTGGTCCTCGTCCTGGTCCTGGTCCTCGTCCTGGTCCTGGTCCTCGTCCTGGTCCTGGTCCTCGTCCTGGTCCTGGTCCTCGTCCTGGTCCTGGTCCTCGTCCTGGTCCTGGTCCTCGTCCTGGTCCTGGTCCTCGTCCTGGTCCTGGTCCTCGTCCTGGTCCTGGTCCTCGTCCTGGTCCTGGTCCTCGTCCTGGTCCTGGTCCTCGTCCTGGTCCTGGTCCTCGTCCTGGTCCTGGTCCTCGTCCTGGTCCTGGTCCTCGTCCTGGTCCTGGTCCTCGTCCTGGTCCTGGTCCTCGTCCTGGTCCTGGTCCTCGTCCTGGTCCTGGTCCTCGTCCTGGTCCTGGTCCTCGTCCTGGTCCTGGTCCTCGTCCTGGTCCTGGTCCTCGTCCTGGTCCTGGTCCTGGTCCGTGCGTCTGTTCCAGCAGCTCCAGTTTCTCTGTCTCTTCTCTTCCTCACGCACTCTTTAGCGACGGCGGGAGCGCGCACTCGTGCACTTCTTCAGATCGGTGAGGTGGGGGTGTGGTGCACACGGCGTCATTCAATCAGCCTGAAACGGCGCGGTGCGCGCGCACGTGTTCGCGCGGTTGATTGACGGACGGCTTCAAAGTCACACTGCCGTGCTGTAGTAACCGTGAACACGCACGCGCACGCGGACACGGACAGAAAGTCAATCAATCTCCTGGCGGTTGTGATAAACGGGCCAGTCTGTTGATGAAAGAGCCCCCTGCTGGAGGCTGAGGGGAAATGACGGCGAGTTCCTCTGTTCGTCACAGAGAAAACCAGCGGTGAACCAGCGGTGAACCAGCTGTTGATCCACTCACTGAGTTCTAGACTTCTTTTTCTCTTGTTCCGATTCACCGCAGTGACACAGAATGACCACAGGAGGCAGCAGTGCACCAGTACTCTGTTCCTAATTAAAATATATTTTTATTCGTTTGTTTCAACTTAAAAAACTATGATGTCATGACGTCTGTGATGTCACAAGCAGTGTGTGTGTGTGTCCCCATAATTAATAGACAACACACACACACACACACACGTGTGTGTGTGTGTGTGTTGGTTGATCATTTCCAGGAAGGGGTGCAAACAGGGAGAGTGTGTTTGTGTTACAGAGATTTCCTGGTCAACCGGGTGTATCCTGTTCACACACACACACACACACACACACACACACACACACGGTGCCAGGTCTATTTTATTTTATTTGTTTATTTTCTGAATCTTTACTTTTTTTTATTTCTGTGGTTCTCCTCCACCTCCACCTCCACCTCCACCTCCACCTCCTGCTTCACCTCCTGCTTCACCTCTACTTTGACTTTTACCTCCTTCTACTCCTTCTCCTAATTAGAGTGTGTGCGCCCTCCAGTGGCCACATGGGCGTATCGCCGCTGCTGTCCAGTCTTTAACATGAATCTGATCCTGGTCTGTGATCCTGGTCTGTGATCCTGGTCTGTGATCCTGGTCTGTGTCTCATGAACAGAGGTTTGGAAACATCAAAGTGTCATCTTCAAAGTCATTTTATTTGTTGTTGTTTACAAACAGAATTTCACAGAGAGACGTTTGAATAACAACAATAACAAATGTCATAATAACAGATGGGATTTTCTTCAGGTCAAAGGTCAAGTGTGTTCAAACTGAGTGACATCTCTGGTCCAGTACTGGTCCGCAGGCCAGTGGTTGTCCATCCAGGCTGCCGTAGCCACACGGCTGCCTGTTTGACCGGAACAAAGAGCCTTATGGGTAATGAGATCAGACAGACTACAGACTGTGAGACAGGACTTTGAAAACAGTACCAACAGTACCAACGGTACCAACGGTACCAACGATACCAACAGTACCAACAGTACCAACGATACCAACAGTACCAACAGTACCAACGATACCAACAGTACCAACAGTACCAACAGTACCAACAATACCAACGGTACCAACGGTACCAACGGTACCAACAATACCAACGGTACCAACGGTACCAACAGTACCAGAGTCCACAGAGGGATTTGAACCCACCACTGTCAGGATTAAAGACATTTGAAGTCACTGCTGATATTGATGCAGTGACTCAGACTCACCACAGGAGGCAGCGGTGGGCCGTCAGCTAAAGTTGCTGATTTTCTCTGTGGCCCCTGGTGTTGGAGACGCTACACCTTCAACCTCAGCCTCTCCTCCTCCCTGCTGCTCCTCTGCTCCTCCCTCCAGCCCTGCTCCGTCCACCTCTTCCGGCCGAAGCGGAACCCAAACCCTCCTTTCTCCCTGTTCACGGCCTGGAGTCCCCCGATGATGGAGGTGAGGGCTTCGCTCCTGCGCCCTCCTCCGTCTCCGTCACCTCCGTCCTGGTAGAAGCTGCTCTCCAGAGGTTGAAAACCAGGGAAGGGCGACAGCGGCAGAGCCAGCAGCTCTCCTCTCTCGGCTCTCAGCAGCGCCTCCTCCTGTCCAGTCTCCAGCAGCAGACCTCTCCCGGGGCCAGGACCAGGACCGGTCCAGGGTCGGGTCTGGATGAAGTCCAGCAGAGCCGACGCCGGGTCGGAGCCATCGTCTGTGGAGGAGGAGGAGGAGGAGACGGTCAAAGAGCAGAGGAGGAGCAGGAGCAGGAGGTGCAGCTGTGACCCCGGGCACCGTGTGGACGATGTCATCTGAAGAGAAACAACCAGCAGAAATGAAAACTGGTCCCAAAGTTTCAGACCAGTTGGAAAATTTAAAATCTAAAAAAAAAAAAAAACAGAAAATAAAAAGAAACAGAAGTTTTTACCTCTCGTCTTCGCCGTTCTTTCTTCTTCAGCCTTCATCGTTTCGCCCGCTTTTAAAATCCCTCTGGCTCCGCCCCCGCTCGTCACTGGTGGGCGCTGACGTAGGCGTGGGTCTGCGGTCGTCTCCTCTAACCTTCATTCTTTGGGCTGAGAAACCTGGAGGAGCAGGACGACTGTAATTATCAGCACTCCAGTCAGGAGCCAATCAGGAGCAAACGCTGATTCATTAAGATGTTTCTGATGAAGAGGTGGATGCTGGGAAAACACCGACTGAGGCCCAAGAATCTCATTCAGCTTTTCATTCCTAATCACCTCCAGTGACAAACCAACTCTGAATTCATGCCGTGGGTCGCTGTCCACTGGAAGGTCACGAGCAGGACTGAGTGACCTGTGAGCGCCCCCTGTTGCTCAAAGCAGCCCAACACTGAAACTGAGCTTTACGTGATCTTCAAAATCTATTCATGGTGCTTTTTTTGGTGTTTTAGAGCAATTTATATCAGAAAAACAGAAAAGACTTCACCAAACCTCATGGAGAAAATCAGTGAGTTGAGTTCAGACCAAAGTCTATGGAGAAAATCAGAGATTTTAGTTCAGACCAAAGTCTATAGAGAAAATCAGAGATTTTAGTTCAGACCAGAGTCCATGGAGAAAATCAGTGAGTTGAGTTCAGACCAAAGTCCATGGAGAAAGTCAGAGAGTTTAGTTCAGACCAACGTCCATGGAGAAAATCAGTGAGTTGAGTTCAGACCAAAGTCAGTGGAGAAAATCAGAGCTTTTAGTTCAGACCAGAGTCCATGGAGAAAATCAGTGATTTTAGTTCAGACCAAAGTCCATGGAGAAAGTCAGAGAGTTTAGTTCAGACCAAAGTCTATGGAGAAAATCAGAGCTTTTAGTTCAGACCAACGTCCATGGAGAAAATCAGTGAGTTGAGTTCAGACCAAAGTCCATGGAGAAAATCAGTGAGTTGAGTTCAGACCAAAGTCAGTGGAGAAAATCAGAGCTTTTAGTTCAGACCAACGTCCATGGAGAAAATCAGTGAGTTGAGTTCAGACCAAAGTCCATGGCGAAAATCAGAGATTTTAGCAGATTTCAAGTCTTGACCATAATATTTTTGTTTCATTTCTGTTGGTGATCCAACATGGCTGTGGTTTGTTCCAGATCAGGTTCCACGTCCTCATAGACTTCCAGAGAGGAGTCGTCCCCCAGTTCATTCTGGGAATCGTAGTCCAGAAAGAGAGCAGGATGATTGATGGGTGGGTCGTAGAGGGGGGCGGTGATCAACGACAGCTGCAGTGGGTCAATAGTGCTGGCCGGGAAGAGCTCCGATTGGCCGGAAGAGGAACAGGGCGGAGACAGAGACCCAGGAGACGGGGGTACCGCTGGTCCAGGGGTAGTCTGAGGCTCAGTGGAGGTGAGCGAGCGGCGAAGTTTAGCCCGTGCGTTCTGGAACCACACCTGAGTGACAGGAAAGAACATTAGCCTGAAGGCTAGGACTAGCTGTGGCTATTAGTAGCATGTTTTAAGCATTAGCATAAACATAGCCACTAGCATTACCATTAGCAGTGTCTTTGTAGCACCATGTGTGGTGTGACACATGGTGCCGTGTCACTTCACAGTAGCACGAGTATTAGCATTAGCATTAGCATTAGCACCCGTAATGCTGTAGCTCCAAAACCAAAGTCTTTTTAGTGTTATATAATATGTCCTTTCAAAATAAAAGTCTGAACTTCTGCTAAACAGAGAATAAAACTTTGAAAATTTGCCAGGACCAATCAGAGCTGTGCTCTCTCAGTGATGTCATCGGTCGAACCTGCAGGACTCTCTTGGGCAGACCGGTCCGGTGGACCAGGTAGGTCCAGTCTTTTCCGTCAGGATTATGTTTCTGGGCGAAATAGGACTCCAGCGCCCTCAGCTGCTCGCTGCGGAAACACGTTCTGATTCGCTTGGTGCTTCTGTGGCTCCGCCCACCTGCCTGTCGTGGTTCTGGACTGCTGACAGACTCCTCCCCTTCAGCGACCACCTGGTTCTGCTCTGGACCATCAAAGACCACTTTAGTTTTCAAAGAATTTCATTTTTGTTGAGACTGTTGACGATCAAAAACTCACCGCCACCGCCACCGCCACCGCCTCGCTGCTGCGTCCTGACCTGACGGTCCAGGGACGGTGGGAAGTTCCCGCGGCCCCGGCAGTGTGACTGACAGAGGAGTCTGTGACCGTGGACGGAGTACAGACTCCCGGGGAGCAGCGTGACGTCACACTCCTGAGGAGACCACCACACGTCAGCTTCTGTTTGATCACCTCACCAGAACCAAGAGCGAACACTGACCTGACAGCAGAAACACTGAGGGTGGAAGGTCATGTGACCCGATCGCATCACCAGAGCGGACGCTGGGATTGGCTGAGAGCAGCGAGAACAGCGACCGCCCCCAAACATCCTGTCCCACCAACCAGGGAGGAAAGAAGGAAATGAATCAACCTGCCCTGTGATTGGCTGAGTGTTTACCTGTGCTCTGCCCTGTGATTGGCTGAGTGTTTACCTGTTGTAGTCCTGTTGACAGTAGATGTTTCCGTGGCGACAGTACAGCGACCCGTGCGTCTGGAGTTCACACTGACACTGAGAGCAGCGTAGACAGCTGCTGTGCCAGGCGCCCCCTGCTGCCAGCAGGAAGAAACGGTCATACACCTGCCCTCTGCAACCGCAACATACGACTGGCTCCTGAGAGGAGGAGGTGGGCGGAGCCTGGGGCTGCGGAGAGGAGAGCAACGTTGAATTCCTGAACCAACATTTCTGCTGAGTCATGTTTAGGTCTCGCCCCAGAGGATCATGGGACGTGATTTTAATTTTCAGCCTCACGTTGTCAGTGTCAGCAGCAGTGACATCATCCTCCTCCTCCTCCTCCTCCTCCTCCTCCTCCACGGTCTGGCCTCCTCCACTCAGACTCTGTGACTCCCCCCCCTGGTCACCAAGGTCACTGCGGAACAACAGCAGGTCCTCCAGGACCTGTTGGTCTGGAGCCGGCATGATTGTCCTGAGGGGGCGGGAAAGA